CCCCCCCCCCCTCCCTCCTCTCCTCCAAACCTCCTCCTCCATCCCCTTCTCTTCTTTCCTTCCCTCTCCCTCCCCTCCTCACCTGCCACTTGATCCCCATGCCAAAGTTGTTCTTGTACAGTATGGGCTTCGCCTCCACAATGGTTGGCGCTGTGTCGGGCACGCGAGGCTGGGCGTGTGGTTGTACCTCCAGCTTGAACAGCGGCGTGTTGGCCGAGTTCTTGTTGTCGCCGTCCTCGTACACCGCCAGGATGCGGAACTTGTAGCTTCCTCCTGGGGGGGAGACAATCGGGAAGATGAGATGTGTGTGTTAGGATGGTATACGGGTCGTATAGGAAAGCAGAAATAGAATAATCTATTATTAGCTTGTGTTTTAGCTTTAATAAGTGTTTTACGGCACTTGCAACAAACACAATAAGGTCATATAAGTGCCGAAGATTAGAGGTGTTACAAGAGAGTAACAAACATAAGAAAACAAAGGATTGATCAGGACGAAAGATGTTTGATAGGAAAGAAGGAGCAAACCACACCAGAGCACCCGTCAACCACCCACGGGCAGCCGCTGTGTTAGGATGGTATATGGTACATATGGACAAGCAAAAAGAGAATTATTAGCTGGTGTGGAATGAAATTATATGGAGCGGAGGGAGTGGAATTAAATAACAGTGGACAGTATTAGGGCACAGAACGGTCTTCCTTTGTCTCTCTTCTCTCTCTCTCTCTCTCATTCAGTCTCTCGGGACAAACAAACAAACAAAACAAAAAAACAAACAAACAAACACACAAACATACCAGACTTGAGCTGAGCGACTTCGAAGCGCCTGGCGGTCGGCGACAGCTGCGAGTCACTAGTCTGCCACAGGCTCTTCTTGGGCAGTCCTTTCTTGGGACTCATCTCCTTGTACTGGACCTTGAAGAACTGGATGTTCTGACCGTTCCCTTTGTCCAGGACTGACCAGTTGAGCATCACCGAGCGGTCAGACAGCTGGGTCACCGTCGGGATGGACGGAGCGTACTTGGCTGTGGGGGAGGAGAATGATAATGATGATGATGATAGTAATAATAATAATAATAATAAAGATGATAATAACGATGATAATGATAATAATGATAACAATAATAATGTAATAATGATAATAATAGTAACAAAAATGATAATAATGACAACAATAATAATAATTACACTAATAATATATAATAGTAAAGATAATTATAGTAATGATAGTAATAAAAAGGATGATAATAATAATAATTAAAACGTTAATAATAACAATAACAATAATAAAAAAGATAATAATAACAATAATATGATGACCACTTCTCTCCTGAAACAATTCATCCATCAATGTCTGCAACGACCTATACACCTGCTGTGGAGACTTTTTTTTACAGTGAAATAGAAGGAATAAAGACCAAAAAGACGTGTGGTTTCTATAATGGCCATTCAAATTCTGCCTTAGAAAAATTTGCCACATAAAATAAGCATTTAGACAGTCAAATAGATCTATAGTAATCATCTGCCTCTCTTCCCTTTCTCTTTAGGTATGATAAAACATATATCATGGAACTCATATGACCGTATGCAGTTACGAGAGCCGTAAAACCTCTACTAAAACTATTTTTTTAAAAACATATATCAAAAGACAATCAAAATGAAAGAAGAGATAATTACGTTTCTCTTCATCCCCCGATCCCTGGTTCTTATTCTTCTTCTTCTTCCTTCCTCTCATCCTCAACGTCCTCCGTCTTCCGCTCTTCTTTCTGTTGCGACGTCCGGACTTCCTCCTTTTCTCCGAGTTACTCGTCCCTGAATTTTGTTCCTCTTCTTCCTCCACGACTGTCTTTTCTTCTGAGAAAAACAAAACAAAACAAACATTAAATAAATAAAACGCTACATAATTCTAATGTTGATTTTCTACTAACAATACTTAAGATCCGGTCACTATAGCATAATACTGGCCACCATATTTATACTATTTGCTTAAAAAGTGATTAATAGACTCACTCGGCCCAGGACCAGCTCTTCATCTGTGGGATTGTGCATGATTGTACATGATTGTAGAACGTTGTGAATGATTGTAAAATGATTGTACATGATTGTAGAACGTTGTGAATGATTGTAAAATGATTGTACATGATTGTAGAACGTTGTGAATGATTGTAAAATGAT